GCTTCATTCTTGTTGGTTCTGTCTGACTTGGACCCAGTATAAGTGGTTCTGAAGCAGCCTCCCCTCCTCCCCTCTCCTCGGCTGACCTGCTGCTCACGTCTTTTTTTATTATTCCTTCGTCCGGAACCTTTTTGCTGCTCAACAAATAACTTTAAGCCTCAGTCAGAAAAATCTGGAGGGTTTTTATACTTTTGGCCCGAGAGGAGGACTAAACAAATGGTGGATTCATATGCCCCATTGACATCGAGAGTCAGAGAGGGCGGGTCTTTACAGGTAGTTTTTTTTCTTCCTAATCTTTATTCAGGTCAGCCAGCATTGACAACGCTCTGTGAGTGACGGAAACGTAACCGCGACATGGCGAGGGACGCATAAATTGCGCGACACAACAAATCGATAATGAAATTCGTTGCCAACGCCTTTAATAATCGATTTTTATCGATTTTTATCGATTTTTATCGATTTTATTGATTCGTTGTTGCAGCCCTATAGCCACTATTAAACCTCTACATTTTTGAATGACATCATTTATTTAGTTTCTCACTTGAAAGATTTTGATAAGTGTTCAAAGTACGAGCCCAAATTATACAAACAGGGAAGGATTCAAAGTTAGACTTCAGTATTAAATTGCACATACAGAGGTTACCAAAACTTCAGGCTGTGTGTCATGTTTTTGGAGTCCTCTAGACATGAAAAATTCAACTAGTTTGCCTTTTGAACAGTGGACAAGCTTATCCAGTGGTCTGATGTGATGTTGTGCAGTGTCTGATCAGGGCGTTAATACATTACAATAGTTTATTCAACTTCCGGAGGACAGATACAGCCACCTGAGCATCACAAATTAGCATTCATGGTTGTTTCGTAGAGAAAACAGTAACAAACCAAGCCAATGGTTCTATGAAGGTTTAATGTTAGCTAATGTAACATTCTTTCACATCAGAATGTTTTTTACAAGGGTCAGGGAGTGGTGACCAAAGATCAAGGAGTATTAAGTACTGGGAGGGTGATTGTCAAATGAGGACAGATGGTTTGATTACAGAACGCAGACAGGTGGCAATGTAGCTGAAACAAGAATCACCGAAGAAAACAGTGGACAAAAGCTAGAAAGTAACAAAAACGGGCTAAACTGAAAGCATAACTGAAATGTATTTAAAAATACAAAGAAAAACAGAGCAGAAAACAGATTTTCAGATAACAAGCCTGGTTAAAATAAAAAATAAAAAAACAGGACAGTTTGGCTAGCCATTAGCCTAGCCTGGCTAAAGACTTCTTTTTTCTTCATGCTCTATTTTCTATCACTGATATCAGGGCTGATAAGGTACAAACTGTTGATAATCACCTAAAAAATTACCAAAACAATCTTTTAATGTTGGCTTCAGGCCATTACTGACAATATTTATTGACGTTTAATGAATCCCAGCAGAAACTAATATCCACTTTTATCTTATTAGAGCGTAATTTTTCTTGCGCCCACAGGAGATTGCTGTTATTGAGCGCGCACGCTGAGGTACGAAGGTTCACGCTGGCCTGTTTGGAAACCAGTCTCGACCTGTATTGAACCCTCTCTGTGCATGGGAGGCTTCAATTCATTTTCACTATGGAAATTTCCCGCCGGTCTACTTTGTGAGCCTGTGTGTGAAAGCATTTATTTGTATTTGTTTGGATGAGAACAATAGAATAGTTATTATGTTATATCTGGCGCCGCCCACCACAGGCAGCTGCCTATATTCATAGCAATTTATAAATATGTATCTTTCATATCATATTGTTAAAATAATCTATATATTGATGTTAATATACACAAGATGTTATAATGAAACCTAATATTACTGAATACCTTGTTAATTCTATATATCTATAGAACAACCTTTTGTTTGATGGTTTAAACAGGCCAGGGCGACCTCGTTGTGCAGTGAGGACTTTCAGAGTGCAATACATGATCACATCCTTTAAACATCTTGGCTTTCCGGGGTTTCAGAGGTCACATTATTTGTTGCCATCTGTTTACATTACTCGTTATAGTGCTGATGAGCTGCGATCGAGTTACCAAGGCATTATGGTGCTTTTCTGATCATTAAACTTCATCAAGTTGGGAATTTATGGTTGAACAGTTTTACCTAGATGAATCAAATTTTAGAGGGACCATTTTACTGTTCAGAAACTGTTTCTACATATAGCAAGTCAGTTTTTAATCTTTAGAAACCTTTTAATGAAGACTGAGCATATAAAGGGTCAAATTACATGAACTTTTTTAACCTTGAGTGTTCTTGTAATGTGCCAAAATCACATATTACCTCCATATGCTAACAGTGTTGTACTGCAAGTTGTATTTTCTGTTCTATGCTAATATATGTTGCCAAATACGTTTATATTTAAGTCTGTATTTATATGCGTGCGTGTGTGTGTGAGCTTGTGGCTTTTTTACCATGATGCATGGGGTCCAGTATTTGTGAAGGTAATAATTCAGACCCATGAAACGGTCCACAGATCACAGAGGTTTCTGAATGTAAGCTTTATTCTGTTGGTTTTTCTTTACTCAAAAACACAACAGCTCTGTCATGTGATGCAGTTGATATGAACCAACTTTATTTGTGCACTTTGTACCATTTGTCCTAACAGGGTAATTTGTTGACTGATTTTATTGTACACTGAAATCAGAGCCATATTTATTCAGATGTTGATAATTGATGTAACATGCTAAAGGAGGCACGCAGTCTGTAATAAACTGTGTTGGTTTCTGCTTTTTGAGTGTTTTTTTTAATCACCTGACAAAAAAGCATGGCTGAACTTAATTGAATTCTCATAAAGTATTCATTAGAAGTTCAACTACAACAGACAAACCCAATAATTCCACTTGAAAAGTTAAGTCGGAATAACAGAAAACCTCCGAATCAACGTGCAGTTATTGATATATGGTGTATATATATTGTTAACATTTACATAATGCCAATAATGGCCTTCTTGCTTCTATTCAATCATATAAAAACAGAATAGATTTTGTATATATACTGTATATACTGTACATATAACTGCTGTGTTTCAGTTTGAGTGAAATATAGGGAATGGACTAAGCAAAGACTAGTTAAGATATCAAAATAAGTAAAAAAAAAAAGCTTTAAAATTCAGGTTAATTATGGATAGATCTGTTGAGTGGTGTTTATTGTGAGGATTGTGGTATATTTAAGATCAGCAAACTTC